TCTGCTTAAAAATGCTGGGAACCACGGAGGACGGTGGATGGCTTTTCTGGAGACTAATGGCGTGTGGGAGACGGAGCGGAGACAGCAAGAGGCGAGTGATCTTGTTTATTCTGTGCGTTTGCGTGTGTCAGAGCGGGGCCGAAACCCTCCGCTATTCTCTGGCGGAGGAAATGGAGAAGGACTCCTTTGTCGCCAATATTGCAAAGGATCTGGGGGTTTCTCCGAGCCAGCTCGCGGCTCGCAAGGCCCGCGTTGTGTCCGAGGGGAACGAGCAGCTTTTCCGCCTCAATCAAAACACCGGAGTCCTGACGGCAAAGGAATCGCTGGACCGAGAGGAGATCTGCCCGCAGAGCGATACCTGCACACTCTTTTTTAAGATATTCTTTGAAAATCCCTTGCAGCTGATCCGAGGGGAGGTGGAGGTTCGTGACGTGAACGACAACTCCCCCGTGTTCCCGGAGAAGGAGATGGTTTTAGAGATTCTGGAAACGACATCTCCCGGGTCCCGTTTCCCTCTGGAAAGCGCCCAGGACAAGGACGTGGGCAGCAACGGCTTGCAGAACTACAGCCTTGGGTCCAATTCGCATTTCTCCCTCGCTCTCGGAACAGGGAAAGGTGGAGCAAAATACGCGGAGCTCGTCCTAGAGCGGCAGTTGGACCGCGAAGAGCAGCGACAGCTGAATTTACTCCTCACCGCCACCGACGGGGGCTCGCCACCCAGGTCGGGCACGGCTCAGGTACGGATCGTGGTGCTGGATGCCAATGACAACATCCCAGTCTTCGGCCGGGAGGTCTACGAGGTGCGCCTGGCCGAGAACAGTCCCGCGAAGCAGCTGGTGGTCAGAGTCGCGGCCGCGGATCCCGACGAAGGGTCCAACGGGAAGGTGCGGTACGCCTTCACCCAGACATCGGAGCGGTCCCGGCAGCTCTTCGAGCTGAACCCTGCCACTGGGGAGATACGGGTCGCGGGCAACCTGGACTTCGAGGAAGCGGAAAACCACGAGATGGTGGTGAGAGCCACCGACGGCGGAGGGTTGTCTGCGCATTGCAAAGTGCAGGTGGAGGTCCTGGACGTGAATGACAACGCCCCGGAGATAGCGCTCACCTCCCTCACCGCCTCCATTCCTGAGGACGCCCCGCCCCGGACCGTGGTGGCCCTGTTCAGTGTGCGGGACCGGGACTCCGGGGAAAACGGCAGGACGGAGTGCGCCATCGACGGGGACTTGCCCTTCAGTCTTACCCCCACTTTTGATAATTACTACGAACTGAGAACAAACGCGGCGCTGGACAGGGAGAGGACGGCGGAGTATAACATCACCATCACAGCCATGGACTGGGGGACGACGCGGCTGAGCTCTCGGGAAAGCATCTTCGTGCAGATATCGGACGTGAACGACAATCCCCCCGAGTTTACCCAGGAGATTTACACCATGTCGGTCACGGAGAACAACAGCGCCATGCTCCGGATCGGTAGCGTGAACGCCACGGACGTCGACGCGGGAAAAAACGCCCGCGTAAACTACGCGCTGGTGCGGCAGGAGGGCAAGGAGCAGCCCGACGTGTCGGTCAACTCTGAAAACGGGGACGTTTACATCCTCCGCCCGCTGGACTACGAGGAGGTGCGCGCCTTCGAGGTGGCGGTGCGCGCTACCGACGGCGGGTCCCCGCCGCTCC